AAAGTGCCCTTATTTTTACTTTGAAATGTTGATGTTTATGTGACAACATATGCTTATGTTGAATCTTCATCTGATTGCATTTGGGTTCCTTTGGTTCATGAAATGTTGGCATATTATTGCTTATATTACTTTATCATAGGAGAGAACTAGGACAGTATAGCTTACTCCATCAATTTGCCCTAGACCAATTACCAACTGATTACTCAATGGCTTGTTAGAAGGTTTCAGTACCTAACTTTGTTTCTTCCTCTTCCTCTATACCATATTTCTCTTTGGCTGTGTCTTTTGGATTGTAAGCCAGTGTTATTTTTTTTAAAAAATATAGAAACTTTCAGGCACTTTATAAACTAAACCCTTGAATTATTAGTGTAAATTCTATTTCTTTCCTTTTTATAAAATGAAAACAGCTTATCTTCCTCATCCATCCTTTCCATCATATGTTTTAGAAAAATTCTTTTCTATTCTAAGCTATCTGTGGTGGTCACATGTTAGATCAGGCTTTTGTCTTAGAGAGATTGCAATGTGATCCTAAGGTGAAGGACGTTACTATTAGTTCTTCGTCATAGTCGGATCACTCTCTCAGTTATGGATACTTTTCATCCAGTCTTCAAACTTTCCTTTTTGTGGACGGTTATTTAGGGTTGCAGTTTCGGAGGCGCCTCAGGGAAGTAGATTATTTGGACTCTTTTCAGTCAGGTTTCAGGCTAGGACCAAGTACAGAGATTGGAATGATTAAGTTGTTGACAACTTTTGGCAGAGCCAGGATGATGTAACAACTGTCCTGGTTCTCCTTGATCTCTCAGTATCTTTTGATACCATTAATCATGGTACCCTTCAAGATCAACTGCATGAATTAGGAGTGGGAGGCACAATGTGGCAGTGGTTCTCCTCCTTTCTTTGTGGCCGGTTCTAGTCAGTGTTGACAGGAGGGGAGAGGTTGAGCCTGAAGTCCCTGACTTGTGAGGTACCATAGGGCTTGATGCTCTTGCCCCTCCATCTACATGAAGCTTCTGGGTGAGGTTGTCCATCGACACAGGTTCAGATACCCAGCTATATAACTTGAGCCGGATGCGACAAATGATGCTGTCAAAGCCTTATCCCAGGGCCTGGAGGCTGGGCCTGCATGAGGAAGAACAGACTTAAAATGAATCCTGTTTCCTGTTCTTAATACTTTTTAAATCATGCAAAATGTAGGAGTAAAGAACTGGTAATAACCTGCTTAAAAGCCCGACAAAGAAGGAACCAATTTAACCTTCTGCAGGAAAGAATCCCGTAGTCACAGTGCTGTCCCCAAATAAAGAAAGAAAGGAAGCTTTATTATGGTCATAAGAGCCAGTTCAGTGTAGTGGTTAAGATAGTGGACTAGAAACTGGGAGACAGAGAGTTCTATTCCTCCCTTAGGCATGAAAGCCGGCTGGGTGACTTTGGAGCAGTCACATTTTCTCAGCCCAGCCCATCTCATAGGATTGTTGTAGTGGGGAAAAATGGAGGATGGAAACATTACATTTACAGTGGGGC